GTCAAAATCGGGAGCAATAATAGTATAATAGTGAACTCCTCAAATGAGAAGTACCATCAAGTGTTTCGAAAAGAGTAACCATGGTCTGCTTCGTAAATACTTTGTAAAGTGTGTTTAAAAGATCTGGGCAATGTTTCATAAAAAACAAAACTTCATTAAGAGAAAACTAGGGTGTATTACTGTAAGCAATTATAGGAAGGTAGGATAACTCATTATAAAACTGTAGTTCTATTATGTAATTTACCTGTATTCAATACACTGTAACACAATGTTGATATAATTAGGCGAGGTGTATTTATTTTAAATATTTTACATTAACTTTATTCTCTTAAATAAACCTTTATTACCTGGTATTACGTTTGTCCTAATTAGATCTACTGTTCCTGGACGACTAATCTCATCATCAAACCACCCCAGGCCTCGCCAATTATTTATTATACTGACTGTGAACTTAGACGCTTGGACATAAGAGTACATTATATAAGAGTGCAGCGTAATATCACTGTTCCCCATTGTACACTTCGTGACTTTAGCCCGTACAAGGACAGTAGGATATAAAACTCTATTTCATTTCATAGAGTAGGATTAAAAACTCTATTTTATGTTATCAAATTGTCCAGGATTCAATTCCGGCACAGTTAAGATAACTCTCTATATATTTGTTTTGGCTTGGTTTCCTGTTGTCATTGATGATACAGGTAGGAAGGGCTGAATGTTTGTAATAGCTTGACATTATAAAGATGAAGTTTGTAATAGCTTGACATTGTGAAGATGTTGTTTGTAATAGCTTGACATTATAAAGATGAAGTTTGTAATAGCTTGACATTGTGAAGATGTTGTTTGTAATAGCTTGACATTATAAAGATGAAGTTTGTAATAGCTTGACATTGTGAAGATGTAGTCTGTAATAGCTTGACATTGTGAAGATGTAGTTTGTAATAACTTGTCATTGTGAAGATGTTGTTTGTAATAGCTTGACATTATAAAGATGAAGTTTGTAATAGCTTGACATTGTGAAGATGTAGTTTGTAATAGCTTGACATTGTGAAGATGTAGTTTGTAATAGCTTGACAGTGTGAAGATGTATAGTTTGTAATAGTTTGACATTGTGAAGATGTTGTTTGTAATAGCTTGATATTATAAAGATGAAGTTTTTAATAGCTTGACATTGTGAAGATGTAGTTTGTAATAGCTTGACATTGTGAAGATGTAGTTTGTAATAACTTGTCATTGTGAAGATGTTGTTTGTAATAGCTTGACATTATAAAGATGAAGTTTGTAATAGCTTGACATTGTGAAGATGAAGTTTGTAATAGTTTGACATTGTGAAGATGTTGTTTGTAATAGCTTGACATTATAAAGATAAAGTTTGTAATAGCTTGACATTGTGAAGATGTATAGTTTGTAATAGCTTGACATTGTGAAGATGAATAGTTTGTAATAGCTTGACATTATGAAGATGAAGTTTGTAATAGCTTGACATTGTGAAGATGAATAGTTTGTAATAGCTTGACATTGTGAAGATGAAGTTTGTAATAGCTTGACATCGTGAAGATGAAGTTTGTAATAGCTTGACATTGTGAAGATGAAGTTTGTAATAGCTTGACATTGTGAAGATGAAGTTTGTAATAGCTTGACATTGTGAAGATGAAGTTTGTAATAGCTTGACATTGTGAAGATGAAGTTAGTAATAGCTTGACATTGTGAAGATGAAGTTTGTAATAGTTTGACATTGTGAAGATGAAGTTTGTAATAGCTTGACATTGTGAAGATGAAGTTTGTAATAGCTTGACATTGTGAAGATGAAGTTTGTAATAGCTTGACACTGTGAAGATGAAGTTTGTAATAGCTTGACACTGTGAAGATGTATAATTTTCTATAAAGTATTAGATCAGATAATTATTGTGATTTTTTGTCAAAGCTTTCACCGTAATCACGACCCGTTAAAATCAAATTCACTAACTATCTGTCACTCCCTTCAGTAGGGGTGAATCATAAAGGGTTTGAATAACACCGACTTAAAATATTTACAAAACTGTTAAATGGGTCAACAAATTACAGGCATATCATGTTTACTAGTTTACACCGTAATTTATATTTTTATTAAATTTCATAATCCTTTCCTTTACGTGATACATTCGTCTAAATTTTCGGTTCAAAATCTGATTTTAGAGATCAGTCATATCTATCCATAATACAACGAGTCTCTGGCATTCTATTCGCCTTCAATCAAATAAAGATATATTGGTTTTCTCTAATTAAATCTGGTTATATTGTTGCTACTTCTGAAATGAATTAAAAGGAGTTTTACGTCCTAGTTTTCTGCTCCATTTGGGCTAATGAAGACGGGTAACGCTATGCAGTGTGCATTGAGGTCACATCCGAACGACTAGAAGGTTGTCGTTTTCACAACTGTTTAAGAATTACAAGCAATGTGGTTACCTGAGGTAAATCTAGAGAATATCTAGAAGATCCTTGCCCTTGAGTGCTGTTAACAATCTGGATTTTTTTGTTTATGTTTAATATTTCGCTCGACTGTCAAAGATTGGGGTATTCATGCGTAATACGAAACTACATACATATCTTTAGACCGAAACATCTGATAGATATTTTGAAAGTTGTCGGTTGGTGTCAAAATATATAACAGAGGCTAGAATAGAAATGAAATGAAATGAATGGAGTTTTACGTCCTACTTTTCTGTACCATGTGGGCTAATGAAGACGGGCAACGCCATGAATGGTGCAATGAGGGAAATTTTGCCAGGACAGCGGCATCAGCCTGCTCTTTCTCGATTTCCAACTGTCGAGGGATCTTTAACATGCACAGCCTGTAGCACACGGGGCCTCGGTTTATAGTCCCATCCGAACGACTAGACGCTTTTTCCATGTCAGCCCCTCGTACCTGCACCACTGACAGGGGGAAACCGGGTTGAAAAATCCGAAGGTATTATCTCGACCTATGCCGGAATTAGAATAGAGGCGGATGTTTCGGACCAATATATTTTATGAAATTTTACCAGAAATTTGAAACGAGACTTCAAAATAAAAATTTGCGATGTACTTGCTGATATACTTTCATATAAGACAGTTAATTGTGTCTCTATTCAATGTTAAAATCCGACTTCAGTTTTGTCTACAATAAAAAGTCGCCGTCCTTAATAGGCTCAGGTGTCGATTTGATCAAGTTGACATAGCACAGTTAGATTCAATAGATTCCTTTTTTTTAAATAGTGACGGGTAACAATGCGGGCGCTGTTTTTTTAGGGTAAATTTCATTGGTTTAGGGTGGGGCTTATACTTGTTATGAGTTTGATTCAGTTTGATTCAGTTTGATTCAGTTAGGCTGAGGCAGTGAGGGGTAATAAATAGCACGATAGTTTATAGATTGACTAATATTCCTAATACAATAGAGTAAGATTAGAAATAGCCCAAGGTTCAGTGTCAATTGAAGATAGATAAAATGAAAATTTTGTAGTCTTGTTTTAATGTGCTATTTTCTTATTGTAGAGTCCTCACATGACAAATTTTCTTAAACTTTACCCGGGTCCTGGTTATAGTACAGACATCCTACTGAAATATAGACTGGATTTATATCGATTTCAGTGATTGATCAAGCGAATCTCTTGAAAATGAGAGTAAATGTTCAAGTGTACAGTTATTACAGATTTATAAGAAATGCGTATATAGACCCTCTATCTGCCTGATTTCAGGAACAATAAAGCCTCCATGGACTCTAAATTCTACTTTAAACATTATATATTTTCTACAACAATGATAAGAAATTTAAAACGATCCCCTCCTATTCCGACTACCCCCTGCAGAGAATGACCTATTGTTGTTTTCTATCTGTCTTACTATCTCCCTACCCCCGGGGCTGTATTGCCTGTGGGTAAAGTCTGTGATATGTCAACCCGGTCTAGACTCGTATCTAAATATCATATATAATAGCCCAAATATCACTATATATCATTAATTGTATATATATATAATTCTTCTCGCCAAACTTCAACATATATCATATCATTTTAACCCCCTTCTCCCCCTGTCTACTTATATCTTTTATATCAAGTATGGGGTTCCCCTCAACTCTTTAATTTCATACCTAATTATAGCCCAAACATGTAGACCCCCTACCCCCCTCCAAAACCAATCAAATTTCTTGACCTTGTTGAAATATGATGAACATAAACCATCCTCAGCTCTGCGAGTCGTTCAAATTATTCCACCTTTCATTACCTATAATTTTTGTGACAACGGGTGCTTTCATCTGGCTTTCATCTGGTCTGGAAACAGGCGTCACCTACCGCCTCAGCAAAGGGTCCCATCATGTTAAGTAGCCTACATTCTACGTGAACCTTTGTGTTTATTTGTTGAGGCGGAATTTTAAAAATGAAGCCTACTTTTTGTCCCAAATAAATTAAATTAAAAAAACTGTTTATACTCCAGTGATTTTGTAGAGAAAAAACTTGCCTATTGAAATGCAATACAGTGAAGTGTGCAGTTAAGGACATCTTATCGCTCAATTGCATTTGCAAATTGTCGAGAGGCGAGCACACAGAGGTTCGGTTTAATGTCCCACTCTATGTAAGATGTGTTTTCCATCGCAGCCCCTCTGACCTGTATCACTGACAGAGGGGCAGACGTATATAAAAATGTCCACGAAACAGAGGCCTATGGGTTTTTTTGGCAAGGTTCTGTCTATAGCAAATAGGATACCCAAACTTTCGTTTCAATGGCACATTGAGAATTATCTGTGATCAAAATAAGTCCAGGTCCCATTAAATACATCTGTAGGCCTATTCATCACCCCATACATGGTAAATAACAGATAAGAAAATTAAGTGTAGTCTGAGTATCGACTGTATCTGTAGAGTTATCTTAACCAGTCTGGTAAATCGAGAGTAAAGAAGATGTCCAACTTCCGGTACATGTGTTGATAACTTTATTTCTAATATTTTGACGATATTTTGCTATTTTAGATCGATTAAACAAAAAGTAAAATGGGTAAATTAAAAGCTGCTATGTTGAGGTATCTTACTAAGGAAGATTTCAGAGTTTTAACGGCTGTAAGTCAAAATAGATCTCCTTCATTTTCACATGTGCGACTTTTGGTTTTGGCCATGTTTGTTTACAATTTGATATATCTACTTAGAGAATGTCTCATTTTATCAATCTCATTGGATTTAAAATAAGGAGTTGTGACTTTAAAGCTATGACACATGACATGTTTATTCTTAAATTTATATTCTCATTTTCAGGTTGAAATGGGAATGAAGAATCATGAGATTGTACCAATTCCACTGATAGCAGCCATTGCCCATCTACATAGTGGTGGTGTTCACAAGATCCTCAATGAGTTGTCCAAACATAGATTGGTGGCTTATGAAAAGAACGGACGGAAATGTAGGTGTAATAGAAATGGAAGAGTTTGACATTTATACAAATCAGTTATTTGAAGTTAGGAGAAATGGGATATTTTATTTTTATAAGAAATATTTGAGTTATCATCTCTTTCAAATTTCTCAGTTTTCTTGTGTCTTGAAATTTTACTGTTGATTAAAGAATCTCCACAAGTCATGAGAACCCTTGTTCAGTTTTATTTTGGGCTAAGTGTCATGTATGAGTATATAAGTATGTCATGAAAAATTTCCATTATCTATCCTTGACATGAAATTGATTTTTAGTTGCAGGATTCCGACTGACCAACTCTGGTTATGATTATTTGGCATTGAAAGCTCTAGCTAATAGAGATGTGGTATTTTCACTCGGAAATCAGATTGGTGTTGGTAAAGAATCAGGTAAGATACATTCAGTATTTCTTTCAAGACTAAAAGCATTTTTTAAAACTATTATTGTATTATCCAGCTAATACAGTTTGCCCTGGCTTTTGGTTGATTTTCAACTCAATGATATAAGCATTTATTGATGTGTTGAAAGTTCTGAAATGTACTTAGTTATATTTTAGTTTCTACTTGCAGTTTATTATTTGATTGTTTATTTTTAGATATTTACATCATAGCTAACAATGAAGATACCCAATTAGCTTTAAAACTACACAGGTAATTTCAGAATTTTCTTTCTTTTCTTTCATATAGACAGGATCCTAGACAACCTTAGTTGTTATCTTTTCAAATAGTTGTTCCTATCTTTCTATATCAATATAACTTCCATGGCTAATACTGGCTTGGAAATAACATTTAAAAGATTTTAATAGATATTTGTCCTCTAAGGACGTATCCTTCCTCCAGTGTATTTTTAAAAGATCTCAATAATTTATTGAAATGATATGTGTGAATATTGTAGACTTGGTCGTACATCATTTCGTCAGTTAAAAAATAAACGTGATTATCATCAACATCGTAAAAATATGTCCTGGTTATATTTATCACGTATTGCTGCCATGAAAGAATTCGCTTATATGAAGGTAAGTTTAGCTGATTTCTGTTTGTTTTGGCTTCTGGATCTTGGTTGAGTTCAATACAGCTCTTGATTAGCTTCCAACAATTGTTCAAATGGTCCTAATTCTGCCAGTTGCAAGCACTGAGCCCCTGTTTACTTCATACGACAATATCACAAATCAAATCAATTGGTTTGTCTAAAATCTAATTATCTGGTGTGTTTTATTACCAGGCGCTGTATGAAAGAAAGTTTCCAGTACCGAAACCTGTAGATTATTGTAGACATGCTGTCATCATGGAACTCATCAGTGGCTATCCTATGTAAGTTTTCTAAATATTTTTAAATTCCTTTTTTCTCATAAATTTTGGTACTTGAAAGTGTTCTAAAAGGAATTCTGGTTCTTAGAATAAATATGAAATTTAAATTCTGTATATATTGATCAGTAGACTTAACTGAGGTCATAAATATACAACAGAATCTATGTACAATACAGTGAGTATTTGAGGTGTTTGATTTGTCCAGACAGGTGCTTTCCATGCACAACACTAATTGAAAGTTTAGCTTCAGTCATTAGCCAGTTGTTCAAATCACATGTTGTCAGCAGGAGATGAGCTCTTGTCAATTATTGATTCATTGTTTCCCTGTAGGTGTCAAGTCCGTGAATTAGAAGATCCTGGTACTGTTTATAATGAATGTATGGAGATTATAGTTAGACTGGGAAACTCTGGGTTGATACATGGTGATTTTAACGAGTTTAATCTAATGTTAGACTCCGATGATAAAGTGACAGTTATAGATTTTCCTCAGATGATTTCTACTTCACATTTAAACGCTGAATGGTGAGTTTAAAAAAACATGAATTTTTTGATTGAACATCTTATTTGGTTTTTTGACCAGCAAAACAAAGGGTTTTTATCATTATGTCTGATGAAAGAGACACTTTGATATAATGTTTCCAATCTTCAAATGTAATCTACCAAAGGTAGAATGATTTATGAGATCCAAGAAAAGCAGACACCTGAACATGGAATTGATTTACAAATACAAATAATTTGATTAAAGTGAGATATTGATTATTTTCCAGGTATTTTGATAGAGATGTGCAGTGTGTTAGAAATTTCTTCTCTAAAAGATATAATTATGAAAGTGAATTATTCCCCAAATTCTCAGATGTCAGGTGAGTGATTCTTGATAAATTATTGATTTTTGATGGAAAGAATTTTGGCTTTAATTTATTTACTCAGGAAGGTTCAGGGTAAAATTCAGTTCATTTCATTAGTCTAATAATGTGTAGAAAGAATTCCAAGTCGTATCATGCTTCAAAATTATACATTACCTTTGTATCAATTCACCCTACATTAAACAATGAGATTAACTAACACCTTGTATCAATTCACCCTACATTAAACAATGAGATTAACTAACACCTTGTATCAATTCACCCTACATTGAACAATGAGATTAACTAACACCTTGTATAAATTCACCCAACATTGAACAATGAGATTAACTAACACCTTGTATCAATTCACCCAACATTGAACAATGAGATTAACTAACACCTTGTATCAATTCACCCTACATTGAACAATGAGATTAACTAACACCTTGTATCAATATACCCAACATTAAACAATGAGATTAACTAACACCTTGTATCAATTCACCCAACATTAAACAATGAGATTAACTAACACCTTGTATCAATTCACCCAACATTAAACAATGAGATTAACTAACACCTTGTATCAATTCACCCAACATTGAACAATGAGATTAACTAACACCTTGTATCAATTCACCTAACATTGAACAATGAGATTAACTAACACCTTGTATCAATTCACCCTACATTAAACAATGAGATTAACTAACACCTTGTATCAATTCACCCAACATTGAACAATGAGATTAACTAACACCTTGTATCAATATACCCAACATTGAACAATGAGATTAACTAACACCTTGTATCAATTCACCCTACATTGAACAATGAGATTAACTAACACCTTGTATCAATTCACCCTACATTAAACAATGAGATTAACTAACACCTTGTATCAATTCACCCAACATTGAACAATGAGATTAACTAACACCTTGTATCAATATACCCTACATTGAACAATGAGATTAACTAACACCTTGTATCAATTCACCCACCATTGAACAATGAGATTAACTAACACCATGTATCAATTCACCCAACATTGAACAATGAGATTAACTAACACCATGTATCAATTCACCCAACATTAAACAATGAGATTAACTAACACCTTGTATCAATTCACCCTACATTGAACAATGAGATTAACTAACACCTTGTATCAATATACCCAACATTGAACAATGAGATTAACTAACACCTTGTATCAATTCACCCAACATTGAACAATGAGATTAACTAACACCTTGTATCAATTCACCCTACATTGAACAATGAGATTAACTAACACCTTGTATCAATTCACCCTACATTGAACAATGAGATTAACTGACACAATAATATTATAATTACAGTCGAGAAGAGAATATAGATATCCAGGTAGCTGCTAGTGGTTTTACTAAAGAATTAGCTCAAGAATTTGATGAGGTTTGTAGAATTTTAGAAAAATGTTTTGCTAAAGCAGAAGTGCTTCATTAAGTTTATTTATTTCTTAGAAGTATCTCAACATCTCAGCAGAAGGTGCTTCATTAATGTCATTAACTTTTGACCCAAGTTGATTTATTTCAAAACAGTTTCTCAGAGTATTTTCTTTCTGAAGAGTTTTAGAGATAGCCATAAATGAGCTCTACCATCTGGTTAAAAAATTTTAAACCTTATAATTTACGTGATGATGAATTTGTTAACTATTTTTTAGATGTAGCCTAACCCTGACTGTAATTATTAAACAGTAATGGATAATATTTGCATCTTTTCAGGCTGCTGATGAGTTGGATATTTTACACGGCCCCGGAAAAGAAGATGAAGACGATGAAAGTGATGAAGAGGAAGAAGAAGAATTTAAAGATGCTTCAGAAAATATCACAGATTATAAAAAAATGGCGAAAGAACTTCAACAAGAACATGATGATATGGAGAAATATTTTGATTCCAATTCAAAAGTTGATAAAGTGACAGAATATTTAAATCGCTGCGATATGATTGGTGCTGATGACTCTCAAGGGGAAGTAACCCAAATTGACAATGTTGAAACAAGTGAACCTAAAGAATGTGATGACAGTGAATCAATTGTGTCAACTAATAACGCTGTGGATGGCTCTGATGATGAATCGGATATCGCTGGTACCAATCGTAATTTCCGACCCTTTCGAAACGTTGAGAGCATGGATCATACGAACCATCATTTAAATCGTTATCCCCGAGGCTTGGACAGTAACAGCACCACGTCCACCATCATTGATCCAGAAGTTATTAAACGTAAACTCAAACATCAGATTAAGATAAAACACGAACGTGACGAAGCAAGACGATATCGTAAAAGTGGAGAATCCAGTCTGATTACCAAGAGTCGAAGAGAAAATTCAGATGAAATAAAAGCCAGTCTGTCGGCTGAATGGTATGGATAAATTATAAAATTTAATAAAAATATTGTAACATTGCTTGTAGCTGTTTATGAAGAGTAAGGCCGGCCAGACACTGGAGATTTTACTTGTCTCCGAGACTTCTAGCTTGTGATCAGAATTTGCCCATATTAAGCCTAGAGTCCTATAGGGGAAGTTAATCTCTATTATTCCCCATCTCTAAAACATGTCAGACAGGATGAGGAGAACTCTAGTTAATTAGATAAGATACCAGAAGTATATTCTTAGAGAATTAATCTCAATGCATGTTTTTAAGACATTTTAATAATTATACAATCATATCACATTTTTATAATTATACATACATTCTGATACAAATATTGGTTACTAAATACACATCATAAAATAATATATTATTTTTTATAAAATGGAGAGAAAGAACTATATTTTACAGATAATGATTTGAGCATTTGAGCTGGTCCTTGGTCAAACCTCTTGGTTATTATTTTACGAGGATATCATTTTAGTAACTGTCGAAGTAGCCATATATTATAGTCATATCTTTTGACAAAGGATGTACAAGAAAAAAAACAATGGAACCTTAACCAAAACCTTTTGACATTTATTTTTTTGTGTATCAATTTACAACTGAGTTGTCTTCTGAAGGTCTACAATTTTTTTTTATATGAAGCCAATTTGTTACATTTTTAAAAATGTTTCTAATAATTTAGAGGACAAACTTCATTCATCAAAAATCAATAAAATTACAACTAAAAAGAATATAACAATTCCTATATGTACATTTAAAACAGTTTCAATCATACTATAGAATAACATTAGATAAAAATAAAACAAAATGTTAGTTTATGTAACATTTTAAAAATATATTAAAGATTTACACTTTGTCCCTTTTTAAATACAGTCAAAAAAACAACTTTTGATATAATAATGGAACATAGCTTTCTGGAGGTCCTGCATTAATTTTAATATGAAATCAAAATTTATTGTGCTTTATTGATGAGCTAAATTTTGATAGATCAATTGTTATATTATAAAAAATTTAATATTAATTAGTTTTCTTGTCGTCCCCACCAGCTGTTACTGTGTGACCATTAGAATGACCATTAGCTATACCATTCGGTTCTTTATTCACCTTCTGCAAGAAAAAATAAACCGTTCATGTAACTCGGAACACAACTACTGGTGGTGGTAGTGGCATCAAAATATTTCAATACCTTAAGTTTTTTGTTTCCGAGAGCCAAGACTAAAATACAGCAGTGAAAGGTCAAGTCCAACAAGGGAAGGGAAGGGTATAAACCAGAGAATTGATAAGAATCAATAAAAATTGAAGTATAAATCTTGGAAATACGAAGAAAGATTATCTCGTACTACCAAGAGAAGAGGCTAGAAAATCATAGCCCAATTATTTCAGCTTTTAGATTATTCACAGTAAAATATGAAAATATTATTCGTGCCTCTGTTTCGGGTATCGTCGACGTTCCACTCGAGTCGGTTGGACTACCTTTAAACGGACATTTTGATTGTTCTAATTTTTCAGTGGACGGGTTCCAGAATTTGGAAATTATTGGTCGAATGTATCTGTTGAAAACCCAGAGGAGAAATGGAATCACTATACACGGCACACAAACCATTTTGGCTAAAATATTTTAATAATCGAAGTCTTGTCCAAAATCATAGAGCGGAAGTTTACGAAATGCTTATGCCTTATGTGAAGCCAGATTGTGTTGTTTTCGTAGTAAATATAAATTTTAGTTTCGTATAAAATGGAGTTGTTGGAAATACGAAGAAAGATTATCTCGTACTACAAAGAGAAGAGGCTAGAAAATCATAGCCCAATTATTTCAGCTTTTAGATTATTCACAGTACAATATGTAAATATTATGCGTACCTCTGTTTCGGGTATCGTCGACGTTCCACTCGAGTCGGTTGGACTACCTTTAAACGGACATTTTGATTGTTCTAATTTTTCAGTGGACGGGTTCCAGAATTTGGAAATTATTGGTCGAATGTATCTGTTGAAAAACCAGACGAGAAATGGAATAACTATACACGACACACAAACCATTTTGGCTAAAATATTTTAATAATCGAAGTATTTCCTAAAATTATAGACCGGAAGTTTACGAAATGTTTATGTGAAGCCAGATTGTGTAATTTTCGTAGTAAATAGAAATTTTAGTTTCGTATAAAAAACGAGTCGGTTTCCATTTGAGTTTGACTATAAAAAACCTGTTTGGTCTTTATTAATAATAGAGACGTGCGATTATTGTTTGTTGGGTCACTAGCCAAGTTACCTGTTCATTTGTAACTATCAAAAAGTTTTATTCATAGGGCAAATTGGGAAAGACAAGCTCAAATTGCATGAATTAAACCATGTGAATTTTAATTCTGTCATTGAAAGATTAGATACCGTCGATCCCGACAGGACTAAAAGTTGCAGTCCTCTATTTATTCTGACAGTTCTAGCGACCTGTTGATCTCGACTGTAAAATTTCTCATGGAGTTCGCTCCCTTTATGTGCGCATGTGTCAAAGTACTTTTTCTCTTCTATCATTCTCAAACATTGACGTGGATCTCTTTATAAAGTTTTAAAATTTAAATTTTGAGACAATCGAAGTTGATAAAAGCAAAATGGGACATATTCAGTTCGTCTGCTTCAAGCACATTTGTAACAGATGCCCACAAATTTAGGAATGAACAGTTTTTTGAGGGGTACAGAAGTCCCCAAGTATCAGAAAATGAAGAGCAGAAACAGAGATACAGCTGGGTACAACAAAGGGCAGGTTCAGAATGTCAAATCGTCTAAAGTTTATGTTTTTGGAGACGATGACATTCATGAAAATGAAATAGATAATGGAGAAATTGAAATGTTCAATATCAGAAGTCGAAATAAGCGAGGGAATTCATCGAAATCAACATCACAAGCCAACGAAGATACTTTATATTTTGATAAAGAAGTAGGAGAGAAGGACAGTTTACAAAGTTTGTCTGTCCAATATGCTTGCCCGGTTTGTATTTTTCAATTCAATATCAATATTATTTGAATTCTAACAGATGGTACCCGATCTTCAACCCTGTGAGGATCACAAAGCTTACAGGCACCTGTTTGTGATATTTGTAGAATGGGCCTGAACTCAGTGCTTGGCCTGTCTTATAACTTGTGAGATGGAACAAACTTTAGGTTCTGTTTTAGTATTTCTTGTATGAAATGTTAGATGTCAGACATCTCTTGGTAGTGGCCTCCTTTTAAACTGTCCAGGTAAGCGTGTAAATTGAGGCCAGAAAAAATGATAATAAAACTTAATATGATAACAATGGTGATAATTGATAAGATAACATAAATTTAAGGAATAAATACAAGTTAATAAGACATAGAATGTGTAATATACAGCCCAGCATCATCATTCTATTATAGAATAAGATATTTAACCTTTTAAACATCAACTGTCACTTGGTAGGGTTTTGCTCTAAACCCTTGGTAATGTCCAATCCACTGGTCGTTTGATATATATATGTCATGGCTAGTAGAGTGGTCACTGATGTAAAAAGAGCTCAATGCTTTAGAATCCTACTGTGGCTTTACTCTAATGTTACCCTCATGATATAAAATGTAAGCTCCAAGCTTATCAGAAGCTTAGAATCCCACTGTGATCTTACTCTAAATAAACTTGTTACCTTTCAACCACCCTAATCTCTAAATAAACAGAAAGCGGAAACTGTTAGCAGGAGGCTTTACCTTCATGTTATCCTCATAAAACATAGATTTAAGCTGAAAGCTTACGAAAAGCTTAAAACCCTACTGTGTTCTAACTCTAATCTACCCTCATAGACGTAACTAGCCTTGAGTTTGATTTTTAAAACCACTGAAGTCATGGAGTGGAAATTGTAGTTTAAAAGTGAAGTTTTAAGAACTTAGAAGAGTGTTATGTTGGTTTTAAATAATATTACTAATGAATTTGAATATTAAAGATATTATCAGAAATATCAATTTGTGAAGGCTGACTATAATAATTATTAAAATAGGAATACAACTGCTGGATACATATCAATATAAAAATCTTAATAGACATGGCTCACTGACTTCTCTGGTAGCAGTTATCAATATTATAGCTGATGAGGGACTGGTTGTAGCATAGTCAGTGAGGGTGGTGGAATCTTCCATGATGTCATTAGCTTGGTTATATGTTGAACAATATTCTGGTCTGGGTCAGCATATAAAAGTCTGGTGACTTAAGTCATCTCTCCTCCTTATTCTAGTCGACCCAGCTGTAAATGGGTTCTGACAATCTGGAAAAGATCATGTCAAGAGGTTTAGAGATCAGCTGGTAAAATATATCCTGCGAAGTTGTTTTTGTAAATATTAGTTGTTCCTAACATTCTTATTCTTAGACTTCTGAATAAGGCCTTTCTCTCAATGGCGAATGATGTATATATATATTGTGAAGTGAATAAGCTTATAGTTTTTACATTTTTTTCAATTAGGGTATAATAATTGATAAATTCATTTTGTTATAGGTTTTTAAAAAATGTCATCATAGTCTATAATATTGATATTTCAAAATAATCCATGTTAACATATACAATATAAATTAGGCCTACTTGGCAGCGTATTATTATAAAATGTAAGATTATTTAAGAGTTAGATCATAATGATGTAACCTGTGTTATCAAAAGGTTTTCCATCATTAACGCCCCCAAGATTGTCTTTAAACAATGTTCCAAACTCGCCCTGAAATTTAGACATGAGAAAAAGTTCTACTTGTCAAACTTCAGTAGGAATGCAGGTGAAAAATGTCAGTGCTAAAAGTTTCCTTTTTTTTGCTCTCCATCTTAATTTTAATGTCAGTTTATTTTTCTCATTTCAGATCTCCGAGTTAAAACGATTGAATCATTTAATTCAAGATCAAGATTTTTTCGGGTTAAAATACGTGAAAGTGCCGATAAGAAAACACGGAATAATGTCCGAAACTTTGGACCACAAAAATATTCGTTCTCACGGACAAGCGAGTGGTGCTTCGTACAACGGTGCTTCTTATAACGGTGATGAGAATTATAATGACAAGGAGCCATTACTTTCCATGGAGGAATCAGACTCCGCTCATGATTTCAGTGACCCAGATATGCAAATGAAAATAATACGCACTCTAAGTATTAAAGATAATTTTTCTAGCCAAGGAAAAGAAGCAGAAGAATTTTTAAAAAGTATGGACAAAGATTTAGAGAAGGTTCGGAATTCGTCGCGAGGAGAGCGAGGTTCGTTAAATGAAGTGATATCAGTGTTAGGAAATAAAACTATTTTTCCATTACACGCCAAAAGACAACCAGAACATTTAAACGGTGCTGACTGTGGTATAAGATGGTGGAGTATTTTGTTGATAATATTTTTCGTTGTTATTGTATTGCCGTTAGGATATGTAATCTATCATTACTCTAGTAACTCCTGATGAATGATATTTGTGCACGATAAATTACCTTCCGAGAAATTATTTTAGTATGGTTTCTAGAAATATACTCAAGTATAAAATATAAACTTCCAAGAAAATTCTTATTATGGTTTACATAGAAACAGTATTTTCACCTGAAAAAATTCACCTTCCAAAAAATATCATTGATTGTTAAGACTAGACTTGAACTCAATATATGGAAAACTATCACTGGATTGATTAAGATTATTGAACTTGGTATAGCTCTTATTACTGCTTTAACATGAGTACATGATATTTCAACAAGATTCCACTGGTTGTTCTCAAGTGTTGACAAATTAACAAATAAGCAAATATGAAAAACGTTTCTTACGCAGTTATAGACATTTACAGCTTATTTAAGATTATTCTGTTTTTTGCACATTTGTAGGGTTTGAGATTCCAAATTTGATTAAATTAAAATTTGGAATATAAATTTAATTAATATCTGAAGTTTTCTAGCACGGGACTGGTTTAAAATTTGATATAAATAGAACTTACTTAACTCTTCATTTTCTTTTTGGGAATTCAGGTATACGCAGGTCTATCAATATGAAATAGTAATTTCTTATGGTATGGAAACCATTTATACTCTTTGTGCTTACGACTATTAGAAACTTTTAAATTTTATGATTTTATATTTAAGTTAGATTTGCCAAACAGAAATATTCCTTTCTCACTTCTATCAATTGATTAAATCTTTTAATAATATAACTATCATTTATTATAGACTTATTGGGCTGCTCAGGTTACATGTTATAGTAAACAGAGAGTTTTACACTGTGCCATCTAAGATACTGTACAAGGTTTATTTTTGTATAAAAAGTGCTTCTAGATAATCAAACTTTGGAATTCTGCTCAAAATATTATTACAATATTCATGAATGTGCAGATGTGATTTTGAATATTTTCTGTAGATTCAGAATCAATGTAGTTTGTAAAGTTTAAAGTAAAGTCAATATATTTGAACCTATTCAGGTACTATTCAAAAAAATTCTATATATGGCAGTGTCTCAAAATCAGACAACTGCTCTTTTTAACTTTCAAATGCTGATAATTCTGGACACACATGGATTTGAAGGCTCAAATACGACGATGAGCTGTGAACATTATTACTAATTGGCTCAGCTAAACAATAAAAAAAAATGGCGCATCTGTCCCTTTAAGGTAGTTTAAATTGTTATCAACACAAAATCAGTCTGGCTTGTATTGAATCAATTATTATTTATTTTATCCCAATATAAAATGGACTGTTTCTGTATTGAAATGTTCACTGTTATATTTCATCAACTGTAAAATGGTTTAATGACTAACTAAGAATCAATATTGTTATTTTTAAATATATTGTTATATATATGTATATTGTTTGTATACTATTGTAAAAATTTATCATGAATTGGGTGAAACTGGTTTTCAAAATGTACAAATATTGCTAAATAAAACTATTTTTAAATGAATTCTAGTTTAAAATGTATTTATACGTGGGTTGACTGAAAAGTTCTAGTTATTAGTGAGATATCTATCAGATTGAAACAAACTACATAAGTACAATCGTTTAAGTAAAGCTTAGAACTTTTCTGCCCCCCCCGTGTCATCTTCACATTGTTTGATATTACGACCTGATTATATCTTGACTCTGATAGCCACTATTCTAGTGGAATGGAATTGATTGGATTGTGGGCCTTGACAAAAGGACTGTAAACATTATGGCTTAGTGTTAACAATATTTTTGTTGAGGCCTTTGATTGGCTGTATTTGCCAGAGTACAATCCAATCAAATCACTGCATTTACAAACTTTCTTCTGATACAAGAAAGGTGGCCATTGAAGTCAAGGTTTAAGTTAAGGGTAGTAAAAGCTTGTCATTGTGAAGATATGTCTTTTTGCTCTGTATAGGAAGCTGTACTCACTTGGGATTTGGTTGCAGTATTTCCCTTTCTAACAGTAACTCTATCGAATTGCTCTGTTCATCTTGAACTCATTGAGGGCACAGAAGGTAAATCAGACTCACCGGCCACGCCCACTTGTTTACAACTGAATTCATTCAACTGGGACAGGTCAAAGGTTAATTGACATTAGGTCACGTGGTTTATTACAGTCCCAATGGCGGAATGTCGAGTTACGTTTAAAGCCAAGTTGACAGAGATTTGTTTGTTTTTCAAGTGAAAAATTCAAAATTGAAGGTGAGTAAAGATTTTGAAGGTTGCATGAGAGTTTCTGATTGATGTGAAAAGTTGGTGAAAGCAGTCTTTGTTTGTTCATGGCGGGAAATTCAGATAATTGATAGAAAGTTCCTTTACACATTACATAAAAATAGTAACGATCTCAGTCATTCATTCATTGTGCCATACTGCCGTCTTGTCACTGTCACTATCACTACTCGGTAATGCTGTATATAGCTGAACTATACATGGCTATGACTACAGCTTTGACCAGCATCAAGGTAAGGGTTTGGGATGGTAGTAAGAGTAACTTGAGTAAGTCTCATAGCTCAAGAGTATATAAGCCTGCTGAAAGTAAACATTATAAAGAAGTTCATAATATGAACAATGCTGGCAATAGGTCTAACATTAGATCTAACATCAGTCATTGAGGAGTCCATGAGTTAAATGTTGAAAGAAAATAAGGGTAATCCTAAAGTTCCTACAACAGTGTCAAAATAGTTGTGACTGGAACTGGAAGAACCCTGTGTGAATACTGTAGCTCTGACTCTGGTGAAGATTATGTCAAATGTAATTCCTTACTATTAGTGTTAAGCTATTGATAAATATCTTGTTATTGACATTAAACTATGATTAATCTTCTTACAAATATTCCTGATAGTCAGGCACAAGTTTACTACCGTCAGGTGGCTTATTTCAAATTTTCCTTTGAAAAATCGGCGCTCAGTTTATACCCCCACTTCATTTCTAACATGTTTTTGAAATAAGATTTTTATATTTTTTTACCCAAAAATATGTGTCCGAATGAACCAAATCAATTTTGCGATCTGTCTCAGACTTTTCATGGGAGGCATGTGGCTATGTGCTCTACAGATCTGTCACATTTCGAACCTTAAAAGTAGGATGTAAAACTCCATTTATTTCATTTGGAATCTCAGTCTTGACAGTTGTCCTGTTATTAAGTCAGTCTGCCCCCTGTTTGTACCCCCTGTTTGTACCCCCTGTTTGTACCCCTCAGTTCGGTGGCTGTTGACACTCAATACTACCACTATAAACTTTCCTCTGTGTTTTCTATCAGACCTCATAATTTTGTACAGGCCTTGAGATGTTATTAATAACATATTTTTCTTTCCTGATTACCTAGCCTGTCAATCTCAGCTAATTATCTTTTCTCTGGATGATGATTGACATTCCTTGTGGTTGTTCAACTAAACTGATTGACACCACAATCTCACTGGACTTGTTATACTATATAGTAGGCTAGAGGTTGGTTTGATTGTCCTTCTTGGCTTTTGCCTCAACCAGTTCCTCCCAGAATTGGACAACATCTGCATTCACCTATCTTTGCCCTTAGAAACAAACAGGTGTGATCAAGTTTATTGATTGTAAAATTCACCACAAAACATCAGGTTGTCTTTTTATTGTGAGGTTACAAAGTTACAAAAATGTCAAATTTTCTTAAGTTTGTGTAAATATTTAAAAATATCTCAAATTCTTCAGCTTTTGTTTGCCTTAAAACATACAGTTGAATTTAAAATGGTTGAATTGTACAATGGCTATTATATAACTAGGATCTATATTATATTATACAGTGTAATAGTGAGTTTAATACTCTAAACATGGTATTATATATGAAAGCTATTGTAATGAAATGAAATTTGGAGGTTAACCATTAAAATACCTGTCACTCAAAGATGATGTTTACTACTGAATGTTATTGTAATTTTAAACTACAGGTGTCCATTAAAAATGTCTTCACAGATAGTAATCTGAAGACTAGTACCACTGTCTTCGTTTTGACAAAATTTCCCTCATTGCACACTGCATGTCATCACTAGCCTAATCTCCATATTTTTTATGATATTTAGAATTAGTCAGTAACTCTCAAGTTGGTGTGATGGTGATGAGAACACAGACTCATGAAAGCACTGGCCTAGGTCACAAAGTAAAGATTTATGATAAAACAAGGTTAAAGTTTAAGGTTAAGATAATTAGATATGTTAACTAAATCTCTGAATTACAATTTGTAATACTATTCTCAAAAAAGCACTGGCCTAGGTCATGAAGTTAGAAACAGAAACAAGGGATTTGAGAAGATTAGTGTAAATATGGTTAGAAATAGTAAAAAAATAAAAAGTTATTATAAAGAAATGGATGTCATTCAAGGAGATGTTTTGAAGCCTCTAACTGTGAATATAATAATAATTGATCTATTAAGAGTCTATTACAAACTGAATATAAAAAGAGAGTAATGTTACATGCTTGACTGAAACAAGTTTATTTTTTTATCCTCTTTCATTTATCTTACAAAGTATGTTACAAAGTATGTTACAAAGTATGTTACAAAGTATGTTACAAAGTATGTTACAGAGTATCTTACAAAGTATGTTACAAAGTATGTTACAAAGTATGTTACAAAGTATGTTACAGAGTATCTTACAAAGTATGTTACAAAGTATGTTACAAAGTATGTTACAAAGTATGTTACAGAGTATCTTACAAAGTATGTTACAAAGTATGTTACAAAGTATGTTACAAAGTATGTTACAAAGTATGACAAAAGTGTAAAATTGGTGCTTAATTGAGTGAGTTTTAGTTTTTATTTTTTATTTAAATTTTTATTTATATGTATTATTTTAAAACTGAGGTTAACTAAATCTGAGATTGCAGTGAAGATATTATATAGGTATGGGATACTGGAATTTAACCTTGAGAAATACAATATTTACTTTCTTTTCATGTGAGGCTCTCGGTGGTTTAGATAGTTATTCACTAACCTGAAGGTTCAGGGTTCAAATGAAAAGAAGGAGAAGTATATATTTGTATATTTTTGAAGTGTTACTAGGAGAGGTAAGATATGCTCACCCTTCTGTAACACATGAAGCAAATTTGCAGCTGGACAACTCAACATATCTTTCAAAGAATGAACATATCTTACATTGTTTTATTGTTTAAAGCAGGATTGTCTCCCTTCTATAGTAAGGGTTTATTGAAATGGAATGAATGGAGTTTTACGGCCTGATTTGTTGCGTCTAATTGGGCTAATAAAGACAGTCAATTCAATTATCAGTAGTCTTTAACATGCGCAGTCTGTAGCAAACAGTCACTGCGGCTCCCCCCCTATCAGAGACTAGGTAGTTGTCCTGTCTAGCTAGATACTAGTTGTAATATCCTATCTATTGAACTATATCTAGTATAATGATAGCCTGAAGGGGATACAGGTAATATCTATATAGTATAATAACTAACTATATAATAATATATATAAATAGCTTGTTACAGGAAATGTTATACATTGTAATAACTTGTTGTCTATATTTCTACAAGGTCAGTTGTTTCTTATCCTAAACTTTCAAATTAGTTGGGGGGGGGGGGGTGGGGGGGGGGTTAAATATCTCCTGCCCTAACTTGTTCTGTCTGGGGTAGGGTGAGGGGGGAATAGTAGGTTACTAGCATTGAGTTTATACCTTTTTTGGGATAATATTTCTGTAATTTGTGAAACACCTTTGACCACAATAATCAGAAGTTATGTCATACCGTATTTAAGTTAATAATGTGTAGAATCTTTTGTTTGTAATAATTTATAATGTGTTTTATAAGTTGGATTGTTTAGTATAAATTTTTAATCTTTGACAATGATTAAAGATATGATTACATTTTTTTTCTTTCTGAATTATTCGTTTGATAATTTATCAATTAAATTTTTGTTTTGTGAATTAAGGTTGTTTTTTTCTATTTTTCATTAAAATTTTGATGGAGTTGTACTATTAAAGTGACAGTGGTGCTATTTTTTTCATCAATAATACCTTAGTCTCAGAAACTGGAATTTTTTAGCTAAGCCAATCAGTAATAGTGTTCACAGGTCACTGTCGAAATTTGAGCGTTCAAATCTACGTGTGTCCAGAATTATTTCCAGAGAGCAGTCTTTTTTTACGGACATATATAGAAAATAAACCTATAGAAATAGTTTGAGATGATTTTAAAGGTATTATGCAAATTTCATACATTTCTAGTTTCTGAAGATTATTTACATATATTCAAGACTCAAATCAACCCCCACACATCTGTACCTTTAACATAGACTGTTGTATCTAAATTCTGTTTTTCTATGTTTTTCAGATGAGATATTAATGGATGTTAAACTGTCAACCAATGTAGCACCTGTCTATGTAAGATTTTTTTTTTACTTCTGATTGACAAAATATCCTGTGACCACATTTTATCATAAAAATAAATTTGAAACGTTGAGTTAATAAATACAGAAATAGTATATCTATATATCTAGTGCTTCTTAAAATTTTAAACTGGCACCTCAGATCTTTAACAGAGATGTAAGAACTCGGGGAAAAAGATTCATTTCTTTTCTGGATAGGAAGCTCGAAACGATTCGCCGCCAACACTTCTCAATACTTCTGGGAATGAATTCACTGGTCACTGACTTACATATCTGTTTTAATTTTTAATTCTGATTAGAAAAATTCAGAAAAAATCATTATGGATTGACTTAAAACTATCTACAATTAGCCACTTTCGACATTTTGAAATTGTTTTTGGTGACCTCCTGTGATATTTTGGTAGATCTATCTATTAATCTATGATATATATCATGAGAATTATTTTGATCAAAGTTCCAGGTTAATGTGTTTAATGCCATGTTTTTCTGACAATCTATTTTGTTATTTGAAACAGAGAAGTTTATTATTTTTTTTCTATGAGAGATTCTATTTCTCTCCAATTTCTTCAAAATAAACTTTGATAAATATTTAGCTATTTGAACTTTTTAATAGTGATGGTTAACATATCTCGTGTTATTTGAAACGCTTTCCTTTTTTCGTTACAAATCTCACTTGACAGCACAATTCTTTGTTGAATATTGATGAAACTTGGTAAAATTGTTTATAATCACCTACAGATGAATTATTATTTACCATTAAATATTGCAAATCGATGCTGTCAGTGTTCCCAATACGCAAACAAAAACTAGAAAACCTCTTTACAATCTCTGTTTAGTTCTTAAGACTCTTGAGTTTGTTTCTATTCCAGGGAGGTAACTTGTGTGTGAATTTTGACGATCAAACCAAGTTTCCACTAGACGCTGAGATATATTTAGTTTTTCAAGGTTCTCGACAGCGTCATGTGACCTCCGCAACCCTGCTTAACGAGACAACGCTACAGTGTCAAGCACCAGGTAGGCACTAATTAGGTTATTTTAACACGTCACTTGATAAAGTAACAGACTGAAGACAGCACGGGAGGTAAACTTAAAATTAACCCTTTATAAACCAGAGTTAAATTGTGTTCTTTACTACTTATCTTTCCTTCCTTAAAATACAATGAACTGAACTGTTCGTATTAATGTTTTAAATCCTACAAGGTCATGTGACCTCCGCCAACCTGTTTAACGAGACATTGTTAAGTACCAGGTAGGCACGGCACTAATTAGGATATTTTAACACACGTCATATTAATATTTGATATTTGTACTGATCTAGATATCATTTCACTAAGAATGTTATTTATTTTGTTGAATTTTTCGCAATTTCAAATTAATACTTACATCGAATTCTGATCGTAAATTGTTTTGTGGTGAGAACGTGTTTAAAAGTTTTTCTCTCACCTTCCTTCGACAAGTCTTAAGTTTCTTCAAGAGGCAGCCCGAATAAAAACAATTCATCTGAATGTTTTATATCGGATTAAATAATGATAATTATTAGTCATATTTTCATACTACTGTTTCTGGATCTTTAAATTGTCGTCTGTCATTTTTGATCCTCTTCTGTCTCATTATCTCCTAATATGGTCATCATTCTGTCATCATATTGATATTACTAGTATCATTGGGTTTATTTTTATCAGTCGGCGGTATTAAGACATTCCTGGTCAGATCTAAGTAGGAGGTGATTGGAAATATAAAAGTGCCGAGTCAACAACTTCTTAAGTACAGAATTTTTTTTTGATTACGATATCAGACTCAAATTTTGAGGACTCAGGGTGCCCCATCTCTTATAGACATTATGAAATATTTATAATTGATATACTTCCTCATGTGAAAAGTTCATTAGCTGCTACTAATGTTTTACTAAACTGATATTGTGTTTCTTTTGGGATTTATTTTGCGAAGTACTAGGTGTTTTGAAAGGGATATTAAGAATTTCAATCTTTATTTCAAGTCTCGAGATAGTTACGAGGCTTACTGTTAAAGTTGATTGATGATCTAACAGCTTTAATCGTTAATACTTTTACTTATTGGTCACCTAATTACCGTCACTCTTCCAATACCCTGGATAACAGGGACTAATTATCAGAGTTTAGAGCAGAAAATGAATGAGACTGCAAGTCTTATTGATTGAGGCTACGAAGTATATCAATCATGTATTCAAGCCCGAGACAAACTGACGATTGAAATATTTTTGTTTTAAATACGTTTGTTTATTTTGGTATTAATTCTGTTTTCAATGCACCTACAGTTTCTTATGAAATATTGTGTGACCGGGTTTCCAGTATCTATAATGTAAGGCATTAGAACGATACATTGTTTCGTACAGTTATAGATATCATAGATAAACATGAGATAAATACAAGTGTTAAATACAAATAATGGAAGGATTGGACACTGTCATGTTATTGAGGGTATTGATGGTAATTTTGTGCAGACTGTAATATAAGGTTTTGATAATTAACATGAGAATAAAGGAATTGGCCCAAATAATATCAAGAAGGGTTATAATGGATACTGGTATTTGCAAGGACAACAGCAGAAGTTGTTATATATCATGTCTTGGTCTATATATAAATACCAATCAAACTCCTGTAATGATGACTGACAATTTTACAAAAACAGATACTCAGATTTTTAGCCTAAGTCTAAGCTTTGGAAACCATAATAGAGAATGACAGCGCTAGGCATTATCTTGGCACCAAAAGGCCAATCTGCTAGCATGGTTTTTGATGATTTTGGTCATTTGACCTCCAGATTGACCTTGCTATGTCCCTTGATATAATTCTGTATATTTTGAAACCTGGTGTAAATTAGAACCAGTATCTGAAGGAATTCGCGATGGAAATGTTAAATATGTTTTGGCGATATTTAAGAGTATTTGTACAAACTGGTATTTATTACTGATATATATTTTTGTATAAAAACATATCAGGTAATTCTCCCAGAGAGATTCGTTCACGTTGAAAATATATCAGATGAATTTATAAAACTGTGGATTGCCTGAAAAACAAAGAAGTTGGTATAGACATTCATAGATGTTGATGGTTCACTGTATCTTTGGTCATCTTGGTCAGTTTTATGATTTCTGCTGTCCTGACAAACTTTCCCTTAATGCAATTGAGCATCTTCATTAGCTTGATTAGGTGCAGAAGAAAAGGCTGTAACATTGGAATAAATTTATTGTTTGTTGCAAGCAGATGCCATACAGTGTGAACACTACTTTAGTTAACCCTTTCACACCTAGCGGGCAGTTAACCGGCCAAAGACTTACGAAATATATACCCGAGAAGCCAGTATACCAGCCGTTACTAAGTGACGTCATACAACGTTAACGTCATACGCTTTCATTTACACTCAGGGTTCAAAGGGCTAATCACATACAAAATGTAAATCAAACCATTGATATCTTGAAACTTTACAAGGCCAATAATTCTAGAAAGTTTTATTATATTAACGTTTGGTGCCAGTCATTTTCTTACAAGAGATTGAAATCTAAAGTTATCAATAAAGCTTTATATAAAACAGGTGGTTACAGATCAACACATCAAACATAATAAAACATTTGACACAATTTACATAATTTTATCTCTGAATCTTCTGAGGTTCATATTTCTTTTTGTGATTTACACAGTAACTTGTATTACGGTAGTTACAGTAGTATATACAATATAAACAGTTATACATTGTAACACTGCATTATTAACATTAAGGTCAATTTTTATAACCTGAGAGTCAATATTTACCTGTGGGTCAGTCTGTTTTGAGTCGAGAGTTCTTTCACCATATTTTAAACTCTCAGTGAATGAGAGAACACACGTTTATCAAGTATATAGTTTGTTAACCTATTGTCAAGTTTCGAGTGTTTCTATTGTGATGACGAACGCTAACCAAGCTATTCACGAACAATTAAAACTATTCAAGTGTTAGAATTTACGATTTTTTGAATAACCAGTGACAAAAGCTATTAAGTGAAATATTAACTTCATTATTTATATTTTTTATTTCCGTGAAATTTCTATTGTGAGGTAGGTAGGCTGTTTTATTTTGATGTTAAAAAGTATTTCAATTTAAACGGCTGAACTTTTTAGATTCCAGGCAGATTTTTTTTGCAAAAATTTAGATGTGTGTGTGTAGATTTTGATTGAGAATTTCCTTTGCCAGACATTTAGTGGTTTCAGTCAGACATGACTGGCAGAAAACTATGACATTATATGGGTTCAGTAGGCTAATAATTCAGTGTAAAAAGGTAAATTAGTTTATGAAGTAATGTTTTATGATTAGACTAGTAATTTACTTTATTAAGTAATGTTTTATGTTTAGGCTAGTAATTTAGTGTATTAAGTAATGTTTTATGTTTAGAGTTAGCTGTAGAGGATATTGATCTAAATTGATTTAAATATTAAACTAGTTAAACATAATGACCAGTAATTCAGTATATTAATTAATGGTTTGAGATTTGGAACTAAGTTTTGGAGTTGACTGTAGGATATTGATCTGGTATCCTGTATGCTTGTTTTTTATGTAAGACACTGTGTTAGTCCAATAGGCTAGTAATACAAGTTTGATATTTGGAACTAAGTTTGGTGTCAGCTATAGACCAGTAGATTTGTGTATTGAATAAGTTTGATATTTGGAACTAAGTTTGGTGTCAGCTATAGGCCAGTAGATTTGTGTATTGAATAAGTTTGATATTTGTGGAGGTTATTGATCTAAATTGATTAAAACAGTAAACTAATGTTAATAATATTGATTGAAAGATAACTGATTGAGGGGAAGTTTTTACCTGTATACCAACAGTTAGTTTGCTAAATTCTTTGTCGTTGGGATTAATCATTGCAACTTATAGTAAGTATATTTTATGATTATTCTAATCGTATGTAATCGTTCAATGACATTTAGGGATGGAGATAATGTGAAATTATAGACACAATGTTTCAACAATTTACATTGTCATCATGTACAGTTGACTGTTTAATTAAAATTAGATCAAACTTTTGTTCAATTTGATGACACTGTTAGCCAATCAAATTTCTGCCCTGTCAAGCGCTGGGATTTTATGATGCGGACAAAAGGTGTATTTTGAGAAGCATTGGACACTGAATGCTCCTTTTGTTCAAGAAAATATCCAAGCATTGGAGAGGGTCGAAATTTGATTTGCTAACGGTGTTATCAAACAGACAAATGTTTAAGAGGGCCGTCTTTAGACCCAAAATGAAGTGTCTATATTAAATATAAAAAGCTATTAAAAATGAAACGAAGGTTTGGTCTAATTTGAATTAAACTGAGATAGTAGAGTGTTTGTGATTTGAATCATACTAGGATAGCTTTCTATCTCTTTCCTCGATTATATGTTATGACGTTTCTGACAATGTAACCCTAGTCAGTCATTACCCAGAAAATCATGTTACAAGCTAAATTAGATTTAATCCTACAAGCTTTATAATGAAGGTGTTTTTACAAGTGTTAACCAGCTCAGGTGTTCATTAATATAGGTAGATCAGCTAGAATAATTACTTACCTAGATATTAATAAAGTAATAAACTCTTTATTTTACATTGGTCAGAATTAGGACATTGTCCTGTCTAACATTCAGCCCATAGGAACAAACATAGACTCTTTTTTTTACATTGGTCAGAATTAGGACATTGTCCTGTCTAACATTCAGCCCATAGGAACAAACATAGACTCTTTATTTTACATTGGTCAGAATTAGGACATTGTCCTGTCTAACATTCAGCCCATAGGAACAAACATAGACTCTTTATTTTACATTGGTCAGAATTAGGACATTGTCCTGTCTAACATTCAGCCCATAGGAACAAACATAGACTCTTTATTTTACATTGGTCAGAATTAGGACATTGTCCTGTCTAACATTCAGCCCATAGGAACAAACATAGACTCTTTATTTTACATTGGTCAGAATTAGGACATTGTCCTGTCTAACATTCAGCCCATAGGAACAAACATAGACTCTTTATTTTACATTGGTCAGAATTAGGACATTGTCCTGTCTAACATTCAGCCCATAGGAACAAACATAGACTCTTTATTTTACATTGGTCAGAATTAGGACATTGTCCTGTCTAACATTCAGCCCATAGGAACAAACATAGACTCTTTATTTTACATTGGTCAGAATTAGGACATTGTCCTGTCTAACATTCAGCCCATAGGAACAAACATAGACTCTTTATTTGACATGGGTCAGAATTAGGTCCAATACACCAAGGTGGCATGGTCCTGTCTAACAGTCAGTCCATGGGGACAAACATAGATACAATGTATAATATGTACCTTAGACCCAACATGGTTGATAGAGGGCGATACCTGAAAGTTTTGTAATATAGTATATACCTTATGTTTGGCTTTTAATTATATTACAGAAGAACAAAATATTAGATTCTTAATTTAGCTGGTAAATTAAACAGATACTGAAAATTTGCTATTACAAACTACATCTTCACAATGTCAAGTTATTACAAACTACATCTTCACAATGTCAAGTTATTACAAACTTCATCTTCACAATGTCAAGTTATTACAAACTTCATCTTCAAAATGTCAAGTTATTACAAACTTCATCTTCAAAATGTCAAGCTATTACAAACTTCATCTTCACAATATCAAGTTATTACAAACTTCATCTTCACAATGTCAAGTTATTACAAACTT